AGCATTTATATAGAAAATTACTTTTTGTATATAGCAGCTCCACGTAGCTACTAATTTTTAAACTACCAATAAAGATACAAGCAAGGCCTCACCTTAATACCAAAAAAAAAAAAAAGCTTAACCCAATCATCATTATTCATGCCCCAGTCTTGAATGTCATCTTTGTCACCAATATCACCTGAAGCATATATTCTCCATAAATAATGATGTTGTAAAGTCATGTTATTAGCAAAAGAGCATATAGAATTTTGCTTAAGAATTTCAGCTTTATTGGAACTAATATCTGGAGCATTAGCTATTGATTCTGCGTCTGCACCTTTAATTTTTTTCTCAGTATTTTTAATTGTATGAGAAATTTTATTTCTGTTGATTTTTTTAGTATCTTCTACTAAAATTAATTCAAGTGTTGCTCCAGTACTAGCAATAAGACTACAAAGAATTTCAGGAAAGTATTTAGCTAATAAGTGTCTCTAATATTCAACTTCAATATAGGTTTTCACTGCTGGAGATAAATTAAGTGCATAACAGTCAGCAATTTTATCTCATGCATGCTGGCCTTTTATTATTGTTGGTAAGTCTCCAGGTCTTAATGCTGAAAGTTTAGCCTGAATGAGTTCCTGATATGGTTCTTTGAAAATATCGAATTTTTTGCTATTATAAAGGGAAACCATATGTAATGGGCAGTCATGGATTCTGAACAACATCTGAGCAAATGCTTCAATATGAACAGGAGTAGCGATATTAGTAATTCCTATAACTGCATCAAAATAACCAGATATTTTAAAAGAAATGCCAGCTTCTACAGTGCTTATATAAATTACACAGTCAAGAGCACTTCAGGTGGTATTAATATTAGCAAAATCATCTTGGCATTGTTTCCTATCCATTTGACCAAAATAAACTCAGAAGAAAATGAATGAACCATCAGGTTTTCGCAACTTAGATGTTTGATCAGCCAAGGCTCAGGCTTTTTTACAGCTAGTCATAACAAATGCAACATGCTTATCTTCTTGAAGCATTTTAAAACCTCTATGTATACCTTTTGAACCTTTATCCGGATCGTAAAGAAATTTAACAATCTCCCTTTTACGTAGTTGATATTTGTTGTCAATAACCCGAACATTCTTACCTCGATAGAATTTTAAGAAAGCTAAAGTTAAGTTATTTGCAAAAGCATCCATAGCAACAATATGAGTGGCTACATTTAACAAATCATGCATAACATTAGCAGATTCTCAAGCATAAACTTCACTAGCCATTTGATGCATAGTGGCATTTGCTTCATCTAAAATTGCTATACAAGAATGGCCTCCTTGAAAACCAAGATAAAGAATACTTTCAACCTGTACAATAATAAGGTTCCACTCATGCATCTTTAAATCAGCCACAATATTCTGATATTGCCCTACTCTGAAATCAAATTTTTCCAATTCTTTAAGTTTAGCTTCAGATTCATTGCTAAAGGTTTTATGATATGAAACCCATATAGTACAAGGTAAATTGGCACCACTTTGAGCTAAAGATGCCAAAATTTTTCTTAATGTTTTTGTTTTTCCAGTATCCACAGCAAAATGAATAAGAGTAGTACTAGGCTCTTCACTTAAAAAATCTGAAAAAGCATCTAAGGCATCCTTTATCTCTTTTATATTAATACTTTCTCCAGGTAATTCAGGAAATTGATGTAGAGTTGATAGAGCCTTGGGTAATCTTTCATATAATCTCCACTTCTTGGACTTTTCTTTCAACTCAACTTTGTCTGATACCTTATCGAAGCTAATGCTCTTGTGCTCTGGCTTGTATTGTTTTTGGCAATAACACTTAAGTACAAAATGTTCATTTTTTCGAATAAATCTATAGAGTTGATTCTTATCATGTTTAACATCACATATAGGACATTCTTTAACAGATTGTATTTGAAAGTTAATGAATCTCTTCTTGATTCTTCTAATCTGAAGCCACCCATATTCTGCAATAGCTAAATTAGCTTCTTTAACCAAAGCAACATCGTTATCGATAGGTTTAAATTCCTCTTCTGCTGGCCTTTTTTCTAAAAAAGTTCATGGCCAGATCACAGAATAATTCTATTTAGGCTGAACCAGATAATCATCAAAATTTTTAAATCCCTTGTTAATGAAAGAAATAGCAGGTCTTTTTATATGCCTCTCTTTTGCTGATCCAAGAAGTCGAAGACTAAAACATGACTTAGAAAGACCAACATCAATAAATTTCGAATAAGGTTCCTCAACTAATTCCATAACTTTTTCTGTAAAACCTTTAAGTTCTCTATAATCCACAAATTGGGCCCGAGGATAAATAATATGCCAACTATATTTTTTAGCATTTGATGAACTAGCTAAGGCAAAAGAATTTAAAAAAGGTATACAATCAGGAATAAGGCTTAATGCATCTACACAAGTGACTAAAATTCGAGATATCAAATCTTCTCAGCTAATTTTTTCACTATCTAAAGAAGCATGTTTAGGATTATTTGGTTCAGGTTTTTGTCTTGCATCAATATCAATAATTAAGTGTAGGGGCTGGTTTCCATCGATACATTCGTGGGTATCAGGTATTCTATAAACTTCAGAGGGATGATCGATCATTGTATAATCTTTTCCTGCTATCCGAATTACATATTGAGAATGAATCTTCTCAGGTTGATATGCATCTAAAAGTGCAGTATTATTTTTATCAGTATGGCTATTGGATGCAAGCCAGTATTTATAAAATGTATGTTCTTTATAGCCAGGTTTATAATCAAGATCTGTTAAACCCATAAAAAGCCGTTTTGCTTCATTATATTCAGCCAACTTTTGATTTAAGCAGTGTTGCTATAACGATTCATGAAAACATTTTTTTGCTTCACTAGACAAACTCATTTTATTGATTTGTATATATGTTGTTTGTATATGTGCATTGTTTGATCTGACAAAAAGTATATATTATTGAAACTATATTAATTAGTAAATAAATCTTTAAAATAAAATTAATTATTCCAGAAATTTTAGCCGGACACCAAAAATAATTATATATTTGATTGAAGTAATTATTATATATAATCATGATGATATTATACTATTGCTTATATATTCATAGAACTGGAGAAATCAGTAGTCAATATAGTAAATCAGAAAGATGTTATATTCATCGTAATTCTCCAATACCTACTCCTTGTAGAGATTGTGGTGAGTCAAATAGGTTTAAATATAATGTATGCAATAAACACATAGGAAAATATAAAAGTAAAGAGAATTATGACAAAAAAAAGCAAGATGAGTTATGTGCACAAATTACTAGGTTTAAGAATTATATATTCGACTTCCCCAATTCTATACACGAAGTCTAATCATATACCTGGCATACATATATATTGATTATTTTTTCCAGGACCTCTTATTTTGGAAAAATAGCACTTATATGCCTAAGTAATGTTATATTCTCTTTGATGCCTTCTATATTTTTGGTAATTTTATTGTGTAAAGCTATGGATTCCAAGACTTTATTTCAGAAGAAATGACACTTTGTGCCTGATTGAACTTGTGTCTTGTTCACATCTATTTTCTAATAAGATTACTCAAACAGCAATTCATTCAATTTTGGGTATATATACTGACTCATGATAATTAATTTCAAATTTAAAAAAATAAGTAGGTTAATGTATAATCATATTCTACTTATCGATATAGATTATTTACATATCTATCATAGCAACTGTTCGAAAAACTAAAAAACCCAAAACTAATAGCTTTGCCTCCATTTTGGATCAGGTTCTCAATAAATATAACCTATTGGCCAAATCAAACCCGCTTTAATTACATGCTCATGCTGATGAGCTTAGTACTATGCTACTGGATTGGAAGGCTTGTAAAGATGTAAAAGAGGCTCTCTGTAGATGCTTATTCAAAAAAAATCAAATAGAAGCTCTGGTTCCAAACAACAAAAAGAAAAGGCTTACTATCAAGAAAAGAGCTCAATATTGTGCAAAAACTAAAGATGTGTGGGATATTTGGTTACATGCTTTAGACTTAGCTGTGCCAAAAAATAATACAGATAAAGCAATTGTGGCAGCCAGTTCTTGTATTTCACAATTTCATAGAGAGTTAGCAGAAGCTGGAGTTGGTTCTGAGCAAATTTATATATATGCCAAATTACTAAAAGTTACTTGAGCTTTTAACAAAATTCAAAAGAGGCAACTCGAACAGTGATTACTCAATCCATCTAAAACTCCCAAATACTTTTCCTTAGAGGAAGGACTTAGAAGAATTCAAAATATCAATACTACTAAAATCTCTACTATGCAAGATCTTGCAGATATAATTATGATGTCAAGTATAAGACCCGCCGAAGTTGCCACTCTTTGTATTATCTATTATGAACCTGGTAAATCAAATCCTCCTGAATGGTACAAGCCTGGTTATTCTTAGTATTGTATCGAGTATATTAAAAATAAAGGAGAAGCAAAAAATAATCCCAAATCTCAGCAATTTATATCTATAGAAAAGAATCCAGAATGTGCAAAAGAATTGCTTACCTGGATCCAAGATGCAATAGCAACTAAAAAGTTATGCAATCCTGTCTATAGTATTAATAGAAAACACAGTACAGGAGTATTTAGTAAATTTTTAAAATCATATAGTATTACAGCCAAAAGATTAAGAAAAATAGGAGGAAAGCATGCTTGCAAAGTCTACAATAGTTCAAATCCAACTCATCAGCATCTTGATCTTTTTAACAGAATAGCATTGAGGCATAAGATTGTTTGTCTAGATGCGAAAAAGAATTATGCTATAGGCAATATAGAATCAGAAGACTCTGACCTCGAATCCGAATCTGACCAAGCGCCCAGCCCAATCTTTGAGTCTCAGGCTGTATCATCCCAGCCTAAAAACAATAATTCTAATTCCTTCGAATCTTAAATAGCAGAAATTGATTCAATGCTAGCTAGCTTCTAAAGAAACTGCTATATTCTAAATCATGTCTTAGCTCTTTTGATAAAATAAATATATGAAGGCATTTTTATTTTTTAGGTCAGATGATGAAATAGAACAGATACTCAAAGCAATGACAATCTAGTCATCTGTGGCATAAGTTCAGAAGATTTTTGCTAGGCCCTTATATATATAAGACTTGTCTACCATTTTCCTAATGCTATTCTTGATTCTTGAGAGTGGCAAAGCCATGAGTCTTTGACTCATCACAATTGAGTGATCTATTTTTTAACAAAGTGTTATAGAATGATTTATTATTATTTTATTATTATTAGTTATTATTATTATTATTATTATATTATTATTATTAGTATTAGTTATTTCA